AAAAGCAAAATTAAAATTTGAGTAGTATGCTATACTGGCATGATATAATTACAGAATAGATAAAAGAACACTTATCAATTTAAATTACAGCATAGCACTGAAGGCCGTAAACACATGCAAGTATACTTACATAGCAAAACAAATTATTATCAGCATTCCCCTACTTAGAAAACCATCACACAGATGGAATAATACAAATACCCGCAAATCCCACTACAGGAAGCAGTTTAACTTACACACCGGATGAAAGAAAAAAGAATCATAATTTCCAGAGATTCTTTTCAGTTCCTCTTCATTCATTGTCTGTGTGCTTTTTGCAGCCTCCAAGTGTTCTGAACTGCAGAGGAGAGGGAGATTAACACAACACTTAACTAAGCAAACAGACTTATAGTTTTTAAATACAATTTAAATGTAATGAAAGCTAACAAAACATACATTAAAAGACGTTATCTGTGAGACTTCACAAGTCCAGCATGTACCCTGGGATGCTGGTTGCAGGATACAGAGAAGCAATGGAGTGTTATGAAATTAAGGATTCTTGGACATCCTAAGAATATGATGACATGCTTCTCCCCTTTTCCAGTGGTCTTGCTATCACCAAAAGGCTGTTTTTTCATTGTGCTACAATCTATTCTGCAATCCATGCTACAGACAGGTACCATCTCAACTAGAACTAAATTAGGATCTAACAGCTGTCATATGAATTATGACTGAGAATGTGTCCCATCCTCTCTTGTTGTATGGAAAACAGGTATTTGATTGAATTCTTTATCATGTATGTACTAACTCCCTCTTCTCATTGGTTTGAGAGCACAACAAGTACTTAGAAACACTGTTACACCAATTCTCTGTCATTACTATCTTGGTTTTGGGTGCTGAGATGGAAATTAAGGTTGATGGCATCTACCCTCCAATCTGCATCCTAATACAGGATACAACGACCACGTATGTGTTCCTCTTGCTGGACATCCAAAGCAACCACAGTTTCACAACAAAGTGAGACAGACTAGCATTACCTAATATAAACAGTTCTAAGCAGTGGATTCAAAATGAAGATACTATCAAGAACAAAACTGTATGAAACTCAATGACTGTGTAATTACTAGTTTCACTTCCTCAGCAGCCTCTTAGCTAATGGTGAATTCAAACAACATTTTTGTAGGAGTTATGCATTTGTTTCAATATGAAAGTCTTTTTTTTCTAAAGACATCTATTATCTCTACCCCACATTTGGAAATGAAGACAAGACCTTAGTGAATTTGTTTGTCCCAAGCCATCTAGAAGGGATAGCTCAACTGGGAATTGTTATCAAGTCTCTTCAGTACCTGTTCAGCAAAGTCCTTACTGCAAAAATAAATTATATTGGTACGCAGAGCTGACTGCATTCCAATAAGAACATTTTGAAGAAAAATACTGTTCTGGAATCTGAAAATTTAAGCATGATTCAGGATCAAGGCGTTGTCTTCATACAAGCATTAGGGCACTCATGTGCAAACTTTTGTTTCCTAGGGGTCTGCTGCTGGGTTCAGAACTTGTTTAAAGACAGTACAGCTGATGGTCTTAAGGGAGCAAGCTAGATGGAACCTTAGTGGAGGTTCCCCAAACAACTCTGCTAAGAAGCCTCAGCAAAGCCTTCCCACCCTTGGGAACCCCAATCCTCCCACTTGGGAGCTGTTTCAAAGGTAAAGCTCTCACCCTGGATACATTTTAGTTATGTTGTATAGCCATCTCTGCATCCAGCCATGAATTCCACTGATGCGGGCCTCCACGCTGACCTGTGGAATGATATTCTAACTTAACCTCACCTCTGCCATGTCACTGCAAATTTGTCAAGCAATCTAAACTCTCGGCTGAATTTGGTTAACAGCACCAGATCTGTGCTGCCCACTTTCCTTGGGGACTGTGGGATTGTGCCCTTGCCTATGCAGACCCTGCCTCTGTCTGCTTTGCCATCATGCTTTGCTCCCAGCTCCACTTGTCCTTCAGGGAAAGACTTCACTGCTTCCTAACAAGGGAAAATGAGCACACAACCAACACACATGTTGGTTGCAGAGCTATCACACCAAGGTGACAAGTGCCAGAGCACACTTTAGCGCCATGAGTTCAGAATCCTCTGAATTCCCCCATGGACTTAGCTACAAATCTTTTCTGTTGGTTCACTCTGTCTCAAAGATGTTTGGGAGAAAGAGGCAGTTATGAGTTTTCCTACATTTTTAAATTAGAAACTTACTTTTAATATTGTATTCAAATCAGCAATCATTGCTCAAGAATCTAAAGAGTGGAAATGGTGATATAGTAGAACAGCAAATTCATTCATACTTCAGCATCTATAGCACAATCAACATTATTTGTACAAGTTTCAGCCTGACACATTTTCCACTGAAATTAGTGGAAGTTAGTGAGCTTAGGACCAGGTATTTTTAAGTGGTGTAAAACATGCTCTGGAGGTATGACATCTGTTATTGCATTGGATTAAACTGGATGGCAATGAAAATAAATTTCAGACCTGTGAACTAAGAGGATTTCCTCCTCGCTTCCTTCTCTAGCAGGCACAGGGATGCATCTTTCCACAAGATGGTAACACTGAAGCTGCTCATAGGAGGCTGACAGTCTTTCTGGCACTTCAATATCACAAATAGGACTGAAAATAAGTGATATTCATATTACTACAATACATATCTGCACAGCTTTCAAGTAATAGTAAGACCTACGGTGCATTATAAGTTATGATTTAATATCCTCATAGGGACGTGTAAGAGTAAAATAATTATAATAAAATTCTTTGAACACTCTTCAGTTTAGAATTGAGCCAAACGATTACAAAATCTGTAAGCAAAAATAGATTTATGTCTCTTTCACAGAAATAAACAAAACAACGTTAATTTTTGCTTCTTCTCTCACCGCTTAAAGCAGCAATGATTACCACAGACACAGAGACATTGAGATTAAAAGTGAAGATCATACAGGGAAGATCAGCAGAGAAGAGGATTTGACAGAGCTTCATTTCAAGCACAACAAAGGTACTGGTCTCATTTACACAAGTGTGAGCCAGCTGTATGTATCAATTTCTAATTGAACTTAATTGAAGGGTTTCAGCTGAGAAAGTAAATCCGTATATTTTTCCAAGGTCAATGAAACTTTAGCTTCATAAGCAATTTAGATAGCTTAAACTGCAGTGTTTAGAGAACTAATCCCCTTACTAAGGCCTGCTGGACTGCGGGCTTCAGCTTCTCAGATGCAGCTTCAGATTAGCAGTAGAGTATCTAGATACAAATTAGCAATAAAAGTTTTTCAAGAAGGCAGACTTTTCTGTTCAGCAGGAAAGTTACCAGGTTATCTGTCACTACACGCTCCACATCGCATTTACAAGAAATACACTTACTTGGTACTTTCTTGATAAGAATCAATTCGTAAAAAGGACAGGACGTTACTGACTTACTCGTTCCAAAGCAGCTTATGCCTGGTCATCGCCTCATCGTAAATCAGGGCTGTTCCTGAAGCCATCGCTACAGACAGAACAAAAGAGAAGTCCCTAGGTGTGTATCTCGGGTACAAAACAGATGTACGATAAACAGCCCGTGAGAACGCACGTATGCAGGGCATCGGCCTGCAGGAGGATCTCGCACTTCAGACTTCTAAGTACAAAGTGGAAACAAAGAAGCCTCGAGAGGCTGGTTAGCGAGGCCAAAGAGCAAGAGCGGCGGGCACAGCCCAGAAGCTGGATCCGCGCAGGCTGGATTCCCGGCTACCTGCACGCTCCAGGCCTCAGCAGAGGGACGAGCGGTGCATTAGAGGGGTACAGGAGCTCCCCCAGTCCGCGGATAAGGGCCTGAGGCCGAGCCGGGGCGAAGCTTGGGCCAGCAAGCGCGCAGGGGTACTCACCCCAGGCTGAGACAGGGATGTGGGGAGAGCTCACCCTCAGCGGCCCCGCACGGCACCCGCACAGCGCGGTCCCACACCGCCCACCCGGGCAGCGCCTTGACCTCACCGCCGGCTGAGGGCACGGCGCCGCCCGCTCGCAGCACGGGGCGGGATGGCGGGAGCGGGCGGGGCTGTGACGCGTCCAACGGAACGCCCACAGCCCCGCCCTCGGGTGGCTGCTGCAGCTGCGCGGGCGTTTTGCTTCCGAGCAGTCGGTAGTTAAGGGAATTCCGAAATTCCCGAGTTGAATTTTCTCTGGCGCTCATCGTAGAATGACAGAATGGCTTAGGTGGGGAGGAACATTGAAGATCATCCAGTTCCAACCCCCCAGCCGCGGGCAGGGCTGCCAGCCACTAGACCAGGCTCCACCGCTCACCTCGTTGGTATATAGCAGAGGGTCTTAAATCACGCTTACATACATATGAAGAAAAAGTTGCTCCATCCAACTCCACTTTACTTTGTCAGAGCTCTGCGAAATGGGGCTGGCAGCCGGAGCTGCGCTATCATGCCCAGGATAGTTCACATGCAGCTGTTGTTTTAAACATACAGCAGACCCAAGAGCGAGTAAGCAAGGGGCTGTGTGGTAACCCCTCATGTAAAGAGAAATAAATGGAAATCAACACAAGCTAAGATGACCTCCTTTACCTCACAGAGTATCGAGCAACCGGTTCTCAGCAGCTCACATCAGTAGCCATGTCCTTTCATACCAAGACCAGGTGGTTGCTGTTGCCCTGGCACTTAAACGGGTCGCTCCCTGCAGGGCCACCCGTGGCTGACGTGAGCCCGTCAGACGCCTTTGGGAGCAGTTGGCGTCTGTAGGCAGTGATGGAGTCCTTTAAATATTTACCACTTTTCCAGCAGAAACCATTGCAGATTCGGTGGGATCAAATGAACCGAGCTTTTGAGCCACCTACATTTTTCAGAACAGTGTCTTCATTATACAGTATAAACTGAATATAGGCTGTTCCAGTTTTTTTTTTTTTTTTTTTTTTTTTTTTTTTCATCATTTCCGGAAGTTTTCTAGTTCATGATAGAAAATCATATAATCACAGATTCACAGAATATCCCCAGCTGGAATTCCAAGACCCACAAGGATCATCGAGCTCAACTCCTGGCTCCACACTGAACCATCCTAAATTCAAACCATGTGTCCAAACTCTTCTTGTGCTCTGGCAGCTCGGAGCTGTGCCCACTGCCCTGGGCAGCTGGTTCCATGCCCACCACTCTCTGGTGGGTGGCACTGAGATATTGTATGTATGTCTGAATATTAAATAGGACCTTTCAGCAAGGGAGTCCTGATTTAAAAAGATTCCACAACTGCAGTTACCCCATTCTCAGAGGCATTACCACCAAGACATCATCTTGATCAATGTAAAATGACAACAAACGACCAGATCTTCTTGCGGTTGGGCTGTGTTGTGTTTGCTGTTATTTATTCCAATTTATTCCATTTTGATTTGGACAAAAATGACCAGCAGAGGGCCACCTTCTTTTAAAATACTCTGATGGAAAAGTATGAGGTGTATTAATGAAGCATTAACCAACAGAAAGTTTGGTAAGTCAAGAAAATGGCAGGATGAACCCTATAGAAGAATACACTAAAGATACTGAGCTGGATTAAAACTGTTTCATTTCAGTTTTTATGCATATTACAAAAGATTTTTGCAATAACTCAAAACTTTACACATAGATGACCAAGTTCAAATTTCACAAATAGCTAAAATACTATAGAAAGTAGGCCTGATAACACTGGATTCAAGTTCAACTTATAATACAGTTTAAAAGGAAACAAAAATTTTACATGCCACTTATAGTACATTCTTATTTACAATGTAGGTTTGGCATAAAAAGTGTAATAAGCTTTTTACAAGTAATAAGATAAATATTTACAAGCATTTATGGTACCTCCACTTCTGAGTGGCCAAAGTCAGCTGGGAGTCCCTTCTCTGCCAGTGGTAGATCTGATTTACTAAAATGATACCCTCCTCAATCTTCCCTACAAGGAGATACACCATAGGACGATGGGTTTGAGTCATCCTCTGTGTACAGTTTTCATTGATAAGCAGCCATTGCTGTATCATGTGCTGAGTTTCATAAGGCAGGAGTGAGCCCTGGGTAATGAATTCCACATGGCACTCAATGTTGTAGTCTTGGTCGCCAATTACTGCTCTTTTTTTGGACAGCTTTACTTTCACTGCTAGGGAAAAAAAGGAAACATATAAGTCACTCAGTTTGTTCAAATATAGAAATAAATACCCGTTAAAACAGGAAGATTCCTTAAAAATTCTCTCGTAATTCTTGGTGATGGAGTGTGGTGACATCTTCTTCCACAGCAGCATAGATTTTCAAACATTTTTTTAAAATAAGTTTGTAACTGATCATTTTTTCACTGAATTAGGCAATTAGGAAAACATACTTTCACAAAGATGTGTAATGTATTTTTGCCATCATTGTGTATGTGATGGTGTTAGGTACTGTAAGCTATTGGCGTTATTCTAATATCACAAGGCTGACCTCCTTGCCCAAACAGTTCTACTGAAACTCATTTTGTTTCTCTCAGCAGTAATGCTTGGTGATACCACCCTTTTAGATACTCCCTTTTCATCATAAATATCTGTCTATCTAACATGAGTAACTCCACCAACACTTCTTCACATGAAAATTCTCTGCACTACCTGATCTAAGGCCAGCTGTATTCACTAGTAGTCTCTATTGACTTCAGAGGGCTTTGTAGGACATTTCTAGGGCAAACTCAGAAGTATGGCCCGTCACTTCAGTAAAATAACATGAGGTCAGAATTTATTTTTTATGATTTTCTGAGTCTTTTCTATGTATTGCGAACAATTAATGCACAAGTAACAAGGACATGCCATTCACTAGTGAAACAACCAAAGCTTTGTTGGGTTTAATTACCAACAAAAGACAAACTGGTTTATTTGCCTGATTTTGCCAGAAAGATTTTCCGTATACCATATTGTACTGCAATGAAGCCAGCCCAACAAGAACAGAAAAGCTATTTGTTTGTAAAATAGGTGACAAAGAAGTCTTTCACGCAAAATAAATCCTTTAATTTTGCTCAGAAAGAACATGTTCTGAAAAATAACCTAAAGTTGACTCAGTATCCAAGCTCTCAGGATGAAGATTTTGAAACCCCAGCAGAAGCTGTCAGCTATTTTAATCCCAATTTAAAAGCATTTTAGAAGGAGAACTGATAGTTTAATAGCAGCCACTTACCAAAATTACTGTCACAGAAAACTTCGAGAACTCTTTTGTGTGTAAAAAGTTCCTCCACTGCTGGGCAGGTCTGGCATGCAGGCTTTGGTAGGACTAGTAGGAAATGGCAAAGTCTCATCATTATCTTTTAGAATGTTTTGTATTAGTTTTCTGCTGTGAAAGTTGAGAGCTTGCTGTTTAACTATGAGTAACTATAAAAAATACAAAATTGTTCAGTGATAATGTAAGCATCCGCATGCGTCTCTGAAAACATGGCTAAGGAGGAAAAGGAGTTTCTGTTTCCATGCACATTGACTCCTTGTTTAGACTGACAAACTCAATCATCAACATCAAATACAGTATTTATAAATAGATTTTTATTTTCAGTACAGCTGTGGGGTGGGGAAGGGGTGAAGTGAGAATTCTGTCAGTGATACTAGGTTCAGCTGGGCTAGTACTGAGGACATAGGAATTGGAGTGTGCCAGCAGCAACTTACTTGTACTGCTATTTACATAAGTAAATAAACCTAAGCAAATTTGAAGATTTGACCATTAATGTCATGCTAACTCCCTAAGGAAAATCAGATAATAAGTCCTCCAACTTTTCAAGTTGATCTGAACACCAATTCAATGAATCGCGAGTTTATCAGATTCCTGATAAAGTTGATAAGCCTGTAAAGAGACCTCAAAATAAATAAAATACAGTGCCTGTAGCTGTGCAGGGAGATAATCATTTCCTCTGCTATGTGTAGACCAACTACTCTTCATTGAATTGAAGCGATGTGGACTCACACTGTCTGAGGAGTGCCAGAGTTTTCACTGCAGGCATTAATACTTCCCCCCCTCTGCACAAACAAGTATGTATAGATGCAACTCCAATTACAAAGTCACAGACTGAGAACTGTGTCCCTTCTATCTTGTTTACCTGCAGCATAGAGTTCAGCCACCCTGCCATCTTCCACCTACCTTTGTGCAAGTATTTATATTCCTTTGTAAGCGATGCCAGGCACATGTCCTCATCTGCAGGGAATCGATTGCAGTCCAGGCTTTCTGGCCAGGTGTGCCCATGGCAGGCAAGCGCAGGAGCACAGCTGTCCCGAACACCAACACACATACTCCTACAGGGATGGATGAACCTGCACCAGAGGGAGCACCAGGCAGAAGCTATTCAACTCACTCAGTGATAACAAAGTAGTTCAGCAGTGATTTCTGCACAAAGTACATACTGATATTTGACAACCTTCAGCAAGAATTTAGTTCTAGAAATGGCTTATTCTTCTTTGTTACGGAATTATGTTTTTATTAATGCTATTATGTTTTTATTTATGCTTTTCTTACTAATTGAGAAAATCCTTGTCAAGAGCCTGAGTCTCTTTGCAGTGGGTATTTGGTTTCATTGTCACCTATATTCAACTTTAAATTAACAAGAACAAAATTTCAGCTGAAACAAGCTGAAATATGATATTCTTTAGTTATAGCATTCATTTCCACAAAGCAAACTAAAGTTGAAGTTGAATTCAACAGCTTTTCAGTGCTTTTCTTCCCAATGAGTATGAAAAAGTTAAGAGAATTATTTCAGATGAAGTGGAGATCACCTTTCCATTACAATTAATACACATTTGATTTGATCCCTGTTCTGGCCAAAAGGCTGGGTGCTGTGATACTTACGTGTCCAGGCAGATGGGCGCAAACAGAGAGCACAGGAACATCCTCACATGAGGGTGACAGTCCGTGTGCACCAGGTGCTGCCAGGTGGTGGATTTTAGGACGACCTCTGCCATGCTTGTGTGTCCCATCAGGTTGGGAAGCCTCATTTCAGAGTATCCAATCTCATGGCACATGTCCATCTCCTTGGGTATCACTACACATTTGGTGGATAATCCAATGTCAAAGCCTGTGCTCACTCTTAGGAAACCACTCAGAGTGAAAATAAGTATTTTTGCAGTCAATAACATCTTTCTGTGAGTCCCAGCTTGCCAAACAGGGAGCTGTCAAACCTCCCAAGTACAGGGGCATGCTGAAAACCCTGTGGCTTATATACCCCAGGAGCTTAATGAACCCTTGGTTTTCGTCTGCTTATCAAATCACTTGAGACAACACCAGATCTTATAGCCTATCCAAGTGATTGTTGTGATAACCAGGGAGGTGGGGACAAGATATAGAAGTATATTCCCTAAAGACACAGATTAGCCATAGGCTTTCACGTGCCTGACAGCATCAGCTGCAGTAGGGTGCTATGTGGTATATTAAATTTTGACACCTAGAAGTCTTGCTATGTGCTTTCTAAATCAAATTAAGAGATCCCCCAGAAAAGTGGTTGGGCAGACAAGCTGTCTCCTAGGGCTGCTGTGTCTCCTTTGTTTTCAGACACTGCTGACCAGGCAGAAAAAACAGCTCAGATTGACTTATCAAGTGAAAATGTTTTGCTTGTGGTAATTGCTTGTGTCTCTTCCATGTTTTACAATGTAGAAGAGGCACTTTCTTTATTTGCACAAGCACCAAAAAAGAGTCAGCTTTGCTCTATTAACCAAATATTTTGGCTGGAAATTGAGACTCCTGTGCTGTGACATGCTAAAGCTCTCACCTTCCATTAATTTTACTGACTATAGAATGACTACAGAACTTGTATCTTTTACTTATTCAATACAGTGGTGGATTTAATGTTTCCTGGCAGAAAAATATTGTAGGACTATCGTGGCTATCAGTATTTATTCAGAGAGAAAAAGCAGTTACATGTATGGAGTTCATTATTTCAAGTGAACTTAGTAACACTTAGAATTCTACAAAGAACTCATCATTTCCCATCTTTATTAATAAATTATGACTGTAGGAAAATCTGTTTAAGCAAATAATACCAAGGATTTACTTCTTTTGTCTGTAGCACAAAACTAAATAAAATGAATATTAAATGTCTTAAAAGTTAACAGAATTATTGACAGTATTTTGTTATTCTTCTTAAAAAAGGACTGACAAATAGCTCTTACCTATAGATGAGAAGCTGAGGAATCAGATAAGGTGACAGGTTCTGAATAATGTGTTTCTTACCTATTGTGAACCAAAAAGTCAGGCTACTAGACAGTTAAAAGACTTGAAGCTTTAAACAAAACTTCTAATGGAAAATTTTAATATTTTTTTCATTTAGATACAGGTGTGTGTGTATTGTTTTGTTTGTTTGTTTTTAAATTTCCATTTCTTATTTACAGAAATGTTTAGATATTAACAGGTAGGTGGATCTATTGTAAAATATCTGGCTTTATTAGACAAAAGCACATTTGCAATAGCATATCAGCTAGTATTAGTTCTTGACTGAAATACATTTTTCAGAAACAGCATCTTTTTGTGCTTAGATGTGGCACATTTAGACTATGTGCTACATATTATTTACGCGTTTATACCAACATTTTAGAGTATTAATCTTAGCATCTTTGAGATCAATGACAAACTCCCACTGGTTCTTCCTTAGTTGTCTTCTTAGCTAAGCTACAGGAGAAATTACAGTATCTGTTTAAATATATTGGGGAAAAAAAGACAACATGATGTGTCTGATGTGTCAGTTTGACATCCAGCAGGGATCCAAACTCTATATGGGAAGTCCTCACTCAGCCAGCAGATTTCTGTATCCATTCATGCTGCTGTTGTTTTGCCATGGATTCTCCTTTATTGCAGATGCTCAGCTGTTCATTGATGCTGTGTGGAAAAAAAATCCATCAGGTAAAAGTATGCACACCTTGCTTCTGAGAAAGCAGTAAAATAAAATAAAATATTAGTTTTGCAGACTATCAAGAATGCATCTGCATGTATTCTGACTGGGAAGCACAAAATATAGGACCTGAGGTTTAGACAGCCTTCCATCTCAAGTCTGGCCACCAGCTAATTCTCTCTGAAACATTTAAGAAAGCTGTGGGATCTGTCCATTAGCCATAGGCTGTATTTATTTTTCCTGGATATGAGAAGTGGTCACCTGCTGATGGGCTCTGATAACAGGAATAGTTGCTGGAGACCCTTCCTACCTCTGTTTTGCCTTCTTTGACTGTTACCAGGGAGACAGACAGAGATTAACCCGGAGCCACCACTCAGACCCTAATATGAAATGGGACTGAATTTTTCTTCAAAGATACTGGGAATTTGAGAGCAAGCACACAGACCTGGGGATTTGGGGACTTCATCTAAACATTAGTTCAATATTCAGCTGGAATTTATTTGAAGTGTAACTGCAGATACACAAAGCTCTTAGACACAGACAAAAGCTTACAGCTATGCACCCAGAGTCCTAAAGGACTTCGGAGAGGCAGCTGGTGCAGCAGGGGCAGCTTTGCTGGAGCAGTGTGCTCACTCTGTGGGGCAGTATTCATTTCATGAATGGTATCTATAAACCAGCAGAGGAAGAACCATGGCTGGTTTTGGAAAATGCCTCTTTAATTTACCCATCACAATGGCTGTAGTGTTGCTTTAATTTTTAAATAACAGAAGTACTGTATGCCCTTATAAAGCTGTAATGCGGGTAGTTGAAGGCTCAGCCTTGGCACACTGAACTCTGTCCTTGTTACTGGAAATTGATTAACCCAGAGGAAAATTTGTTTTAATAGTGAAAGAGAAAGCTGATGCGTGGAGTGACCCAGATTTGGTTTCTGACCTCAGGCTTCCTGTTTAACCTGTAACCCCATTGCATTTCATCCCCCCACTCACATAGACCAGGGACAGCATTTCTGGGCAACAGTACAGGGGATGCAGGGAGATGGATGCATTTGAATAGGAAGTGTTGAGATACTGCAAGAGTCAGGAAATGGGACGTAGGTACAGGATTTACAGATTCCAGAATCACCTAAAGGCACAGATGTGCTGAATGCTATACAAAACCTGAGTAAATAGCATTTCTGAAGTACACCAGATAAGCAGAGATGGAAATAGGGCACAGGGAGATCAGCAGGCAGGCAGGCAGTCTGAATTTAGGCTTTTAAATCACCGATCATGTATTAGATGAGCAGCTTCTGCACAAAGCCAGTACTGATAGCCACTTGTCTCTTCTTTTTCTGAGCTAGAAAATCAAACTTCTCGAGGCTGGGGTTTCTCATTGTTACCAGTTTGCTGGTTTGGCTGGCACTGCCTGTTTCTCTTCTTAGTTTTTACTTTCGATGTAGTTCTGCTTTGATTTCTTGTTATGGAAGAAATCCAATAGAGTTTTACATATTTCAGGCATAATCCCTGCCATGCAGAAAAGCTCCTGTTGAGTCTAGACTTTGTATTTGCAGTCTTTTGGACATTTATTCTCTGTTTCCCTGTCACAAAACTGCATATCAGAGCCACGTCCTGTCTGAGGTATTGTCTGTAACAGGCAAATACAGAAAAAAAAGCCAGTTCAAAAGGAGAGTGCACTGCATCATTTCCAAACTCCATGAGCAAGACAGTAAAAGCAGGCTCAAGAATGTTTCCTCGGACCACAGGGGATCAGCTGTCCTGCCTAGGTGTAAACAGCAAGTATGTACCAACTATTTGTAGTCCATTGAGAAAGTAAACAGGGTCGCCTTGTCTATCCCCAACACTTTCTTCGTCTGTGGCCTGTAGCCAACTACTGATTATCACGATAAGGCAGAAACACGTTAAGTCTTGAAAATTATGTCTGGCTTCTGGTTGTTAGAAGAGATAGCTCTATCAGTTAAGCACGTAAAAGGCTGGGAGAGTGCTCAGCTGACTCCAGCAGGCCTGGAGCCGATCCCTTTTAACTCACTTGACAGCTTTTTGCATCTAACTTCTCCCTCTTCCAGCTACCTGGAGGAAGGACTACCAGAATTTGACATTATACCATTAAATGGCTGGCCAAACCCACTTCTCTTTGATGCCATTGGAATCAATGGGCCTGAAGCATCTGTGTAGAATTCAAATTTCAGCATATGTGCTTTGCTGAAGAAGAGAAGTTATGTAATGTCTATAAGGTTTCACAAATAAATAAATGTGCATAAAATATATGAATTGAAACATCATGGGCAGATCTTCTCTAAGCAGAATTCCCTTTGGCATTAATAAGATCTTTTTCTTTAAAGAATGATTGCAAAATGTCATCTCTTTCCTTGGACTGAAAAATGTATTTGAATGCACTTAATCAAATCAAGCGTTCCCACTACAAGTGGTTTGGGTGAATTGAGATGAACACACAGTCAAGAAATAATCAAATGGATTTCAAATTATGGATTCTATCTGTTGGATTCTTGGCAGTTTTTTGTTGCTGTGTTAATTTAAATTAGTCTCCAAGACAAGACATGTTTTTAGGGGTGCAGATTTACATTTTAAATTTTTGAAAAGAGTAAGTATTTTCTGGATAAATCGTCACTTTCATTGCCAAGTTTCCATGTCAGACTACTTTTGGAAAGACATTTTCAAACTATTTTATTCAAATGCACACACGTATGCTAAACTTTGGTTGGCTTAATTAAGATAAATGTTTGCATCCTAAACTCAAGTGTGTGCATAGCACCACTTTTCAAGAATTGTTTTGGGACTCAGGGAAAAGAATATATATTTGTAATTGTGGCAGTTACAAACTACTGTAACTGCTCCACAAATGAGTGTGCCCACTCACAGTCATTTAGTATGTAAATTTTACCTGACTGCTTTGCAAATACTTGATTGGAATAGTTAATTCTGTTTTGCTATTTGAGCTCTGTAACAGGAAGGGTAAGGGATACATGCTGAAGGAATGAGTGTTCCATGCTTATTTTCAGTCTCTTCATCTTAGATACTCTCTTGCAGACACCTTCTGGAACCCTTTTAATGCCCCTTCTTACTCTGACAGAAGAGACACTTGCTATTACAACTGTCACTAACATACTTTTCTCCCTTATTTCTTGTGTAACTCTCAAGGAGCTCACAACATTTCTCAAGTTGGTGGAGGAAGATCTGGTCAGATCGCCTAGGCAAACTCAACACACACAAAACCATGGGCCCTGATGAGACGTGCTCACAGATGCTGAGGGAGCTAGCAGAAGTAATTGCCAAGCTGTTCTCTATCATCTTTCAAAGGTATGGGAGAGGTGCCTGAGGACTGGAGAAAAGACAATGTTAGTCTAGTCTTCAATAAAGGTCAAGGTGATGACTGTACCCCTATACTCTGCCCTGGTGGGGCCACATCTGCGTCCAGTTCTGGGCCCTTCCATTAGAGAAAGACAAGCCTTCTAGAGAAAGTCCCGTGGAGGGTCTCAAAGATGATAAAGGACCCGGAGTATCTCCTGTATGAGGAAAGGTTGGTCAGCCTGGAGAAGATTGAGGGGATACGATATCAAATTTTATAAATATGTAAAACATAGGTGTCAAGTGAACAGAGCC